AAGATCTCTGTGAGTGAGATCCCAGTGGAAAGAACAGGTCTTCAAAGAAGGAGGTACCTTTCTCTGAAGGGAGAAGAGAACCTCCACTTTGACTATGACCTTGTCTGAACAAGATAAGAGTCGGAGAACTCAAGGGGCTTCCATAGCCTTGGAAACTCATGACTGGTGCATAGGGAGATTACTGATGCCATAAACAGGAGTGTCAATTTGTAAAGTCAACAACAGGAGTCACTGTGCACTTACTCCTCATGTAGGATCTCTGTCCTTAGTGTTCTGTACATTGAGACTTAATGCTATAACGAGTACTCAAACAGTATATTTCACTTTGTGTTTCTATGGGGGTGCAAACTGTTGAAATCTTTACTTAATGTATACTAAACTGATCTTCTGTAAAAAAAAAGAAGAAATTATCAATTCCCAACTTGACTCTCACTGGGATTAAACATGACAATAGGTCTGATCTGATTTCATCATCATTTAAAAAATTATCTATTATTTTCACTTTATGTTTCTGTGTGGTAGCAAACTGTTGAAATCTTTACTTAATGTATGCTAAACTGATCTTCTGTATATAAAGAGAATCGAAAATGAAAAAAAAATGCCTGTTCAAGTCTTTTGCCCATTTCTTAACTAGATTGGTAGTTTTTGCTGTTGTTGTTGAGTTTCTTGAGTTCTTTATAGACTCTGGATATTAATCCTTAATCAATTTCATAGTTCTCAAATATTTTCTCCCATTCTCCTTTACCTCTTCACTTTGCTGAATATTTTATCTCTTTGAGAAAGAAATGGATCTGCCTCTGGTAAAAAGGATTTAACTAAAAATCTTCAGATCCCTTCTAGCCCTAATATTCCAGTTATATTTGTAACCTCAAAATACTTTAAAACATTTAGCCTGTTCATGAGTATTCGGACTGAATTTAACAGAATTCAACAAATATACAATGAAAAATGTCTTTATGCAGCGTGTTAAGCTACCTATTCATGGGTAAATAAAACATTCTTTGGAGTGCTTCAAAGGTAAAAGGACTCTAATGTAGTTTTAAAAACACCACTTGGCTAATCATTTCCTTGAGATTTGTGTGAGGGATGGGCTTTGGTGAGAAAGAGGCTTCTAGCCACATATGCCTGATGTGAAAACAGGAGCTTTTCATTCTTAGCATTGTTGAATCAATGAACTGCCCCATTAAGTGACACTCCAGAAGGATACATTATTACACATTGGAATTGACTGGTCCCCAATTGATAGCTAAAGGTGAGTTGTATGTATTGAAACAGCAGAAAAACACTTACAAATAGTTTTTTTTAATCAAGTACTAAGATCATTTAAAGAGAAACAGAACAGAGTTAAAAGTTGGCAATTATCTAGTGGATTTCTTCAACTTGGTAACCAAACTGGGTAACTCATGCAAAGAATTCATCTAGGGGTAAGTATACACTGTTATCGCCAAACACTGTTATCTTTGAGAGTCACCTACTATAAATGTGAACAAAAGAGATGTTTACTCATCAGGGTTCTTTCAGTTTCAAAGAATGGAAAACCTGACTCAAATGAACTTCAATAAAACTTAAAAAGCCAAACTATAGCTTTAACTTCAAGTACACCTTGACCCAGGAGCTAAGGCAACGACATCAACAGTTGTTTCTCCCTATGTCTTGGCTTGTCCTTCTGCATTGTTGGCCTGATTTTCAGGCTTCACATGGTGGCTATAACAACACAAGACTCAGGTTACCCTTATTACCATAGTCTCAGGGAAAAGAGATGATATCAGCTAAGCAATTCCTACACAAATTCTAATACTTACTTTGCCTGGCATAACCCAAACCACATGTTTATACTGATAAGTCACTTTCACCAGGGAATGAAATGCTCTCCTTTGCCAGACCAAGTAATGCCCACCAGAGGAGTCAGGGGTAAGGTTAGCTCTACTCAGAACATCTGGGGGTGAGTTGACCTTGGCAAATACTTCTCAAGTTTTAACATGCATTCGGGTTGCAGGAGGGATTTTGAAAACACATTCTAATTCAATAGGTCTAGAGAGGGCGCAGAGAAACTGCATTTACAACAGTTTTTGCAAGGCAAAACTCCCAAGGAGCATGCTAAAATGATAGGATGGCTAGCTAGTTACAGGCCAGATACCACCTAAGGGTATGAGGAGCCAGTGCCATATGACAACGTCAGATCACTTGTTAAAAAACCATTAAGATTTTCAACTTGACTGCAGAACATTAAACCGAGCACAGGATTCTCCTAAGCTTGGGGCCTGTGCAACTTCACAGGTCACACGCCCAGGAAATGAGCCCTTGATTGCAGTCTCCTGCTGTGATGAGGTTGAGTTGGGGCCAAGAAAAGATTGCTGTGAACAATGGGGAATATATTATTCCCAATATTCTCTTCTTATATGGACAGCAGTTATGTTGGATTGGGGTCCACACCAAATTTTAATTTTAGTTTATCTACTTATTTAAAGACTGCCTCCAAATAGATTCATTTTCCAAGATATTAGGGGTTGGAACTTCAACATATGAAGTTGAGGAGGGTGCAAAATTCACCCTATAATATCCTCTTGTAGAAGTGTCTGATCAAGCCACTTGCCCATTTCTCTCTTGGTTTGTCTGCTGATAGAAGCTGTTTATGTATCTGAGATTCAAGCCCTTTGTTTTTAGTTACAGGGGTTACAAATATCTCTCTGCTTTCTGAATGGTATCTTCTAATAAACAGAAGTCTCTAATTCTAATGCAATCAGGTTTGTCATTCTTTCCTTTGTGACCAGTTCTTTTGACTTCTGCTCCCTTCAAGGATATGAGGACATACAGTCTGCCTGATACTTCTTTTGTGTATGGTATAAGAAAGAGGTTAATATATATGTTTCCATATGTATGTATATAATTGATATATAATTGATTCAGCACCATTGATTGAAGAAATCATCTTCCTTTCCACTCTTGAATAATTCTGGATTATTTAAATTGATATTTAAAAATTGAGATAAAATAGATACTGATATGAAATTGATATTTTTGTAATATTGAGTCTTTATGGTCTTATTCTCATGTGTTCTGTTCTTTGTATTTATCTTTCTTGAGTACATGGCTTGATGTATTTCATCATTTTGGAAAACTACCAGAAATTACATCTTCAAATATTGCTTCTGCCCTTTTCTCCTTCTTTTATCTCTGGGAACTGCAGATACATGTATGATAGGTCTTTTTATTCTCACTTATATTTCTTATATATTTGTCTCTCTCTTCTTCAATTTGAATATTTTATTCTGACCTATATGCTGGTTTATTTTACCTTCAGCTGCAATTAACCTGTGAAATTATTCCATTTAGTTCTTGCTTTGTAATTGCATTTTTTTCAATTCTAGAACTTAAATATGATTCATTTTATAGTTTTATTTTCAACCATTTTGTTCTCTATCTTGTTATTTATTAAGCACTAAGTTCATTTAATTTTCACAGTTCTATGAGAACTAAAATTCCCATTGTTATTTTAAAATCCACATTTAAAAACTCTAATAATTATATCTTCTTTTTAAAATTATTTTTATTTATGTGAGAGAGTCACAGAGGGAAGTAGAGCCAGAGAGAGAGGTCTTCCATCTGCTGGGTCACTCCCCAAATGACCACAACAGCCAAAGCTGAGCTGATCTGAAGCCAGGAGCCAGGAGCTTCTTCTAGGTCTCCCACGTAGGCGCAGGAGCCCAAGGACTTGGGCCATCTTCTTCTGCTCTCCCAGGCCATAATAGAGAGATGGATAGGAAGTAGAGCAGCTGGGACTCAAACTGGCACCAATATGGGATGCTGGCACTGCAGGCTGGGGCTTTAACTCAATGCACCATAGCGCCAGACCATAATTATATCTTCTATGGCTCTGTTTTATTTCCTTTCTTGTTTGGGGTCAATTATTGTGTTTGTGGAACTCTTAGTTTTTACTGAGCTCTAGACATTGCTACTACCTCTTGAGCATACAACTCCATCACCAATCTTAGTTTTCTCCAACAATCAGGAATGTGCACACATCTGGTGACACAATATTAAAAACATGTCCTTTACAGAGTCATGGCTTTGAAGACATTTATTTTTCACAACTGGTAGGCTGGGGGAATCACGAACTCTATCTCAAAATTCAGGTGTTGGACCTAGTTCAGCCATCAGCACCAGCAGCCTGTTGTGAGAACTCTACACAGTAGGAGCTTGCCGAGTGGCCACCCTGGGTGTAATAGTGTCTTAACCTCCCAAATCACACCCACCCAGAACCTCAGAATGTGACCCTGTTTGGAAAAGGGGTCTTTGCAGATGTAATCTGTTAGGATGAGATCATATTATATTAGAGTAGACCCTAAATATAATGACTAGTATCCCTTTAGGGAGGTCACATGAAGGGGCCCACGCTGTGGTGCAGGAAAATCCGCTGCCTGCAGCGCCGGCATCCTATATGGGCTCCAGTTCAAGTCCTGGCTGCTCCTCTTCTGATCCAGCTCTCTGCTGTGGCCTGGGAAAGCAGTGGAGGATGGCCCAAGTGCTTGGGCCCCTGCACTCACATGGGAAGATCCTGGAAGAAGCTCCTGGCTCCTGGCTTTGAATCGGCACAGCTCAGGTCATTGAGGCCGACTGGGGAGTGAACCAGCCGAGGGAAGACCTCTCTCTCTCTCTCTCTCTCTCTGCCTCTCCTTCTCTGTTACTCTTTCAAATAAATAAATCAATCTTAAAAAAAAAAAAAAAAAAGTCATATGAGAACACAGGCAGAGGTCAGCTGTTGCCACAGCCAAGGAAGGCCAAGTCTCGCCAGGAGACATGAGACTGGGACGATGCAAGTCAGGAGTATTCACTAAAGCCTGCAGAGGGACCAAGACCCACGTGCACTCGGGCACTGGCCTCTGGGACCGTGAGGGAATAGATTTCTTTGGTTTTAAGACAGCGATTCCTATTTCCGCTTTCTCACTACTATCCGTTTTTCACCCCCCACCCCCAGGCACTGCGCGCTCTGGGCTTCAGTGACGTCATCTCTCAGCGCCGCACTGACCCCCGCCGGTGGAAAAGGGAACAGCTCCGCCGCCCTTCGCGTCTGTGTTGGGCTCCTGCTCCTTCAGTTATCATGGCGCCGTCGCTGTGGAAGGGGCTGGTAGGCATCGGCCTCTTTGCTCTAGCCCACGCCGCCTTTTCCGCTGCTCAGCATCGTTCTTATATGCGATTGACAGAAAAGGAAGAGGAATCACTGCCAACAGATATAGTGCTTCAGACACTTCTGGCCTTTGCAGTTACCTGTTATGGTACAGTTCATATTGCAGGGGAATTTAAAAACATGGACGCTACTTCCGAACTAAAGAATAAGACATTTGATACGTTAAGGAATCACCCATCCTTTTACGTCTTTAACCATCGCGGTCGAGTACTGTTCCGGCCTTCAGATACAAGAAATTCTTCAAATCAAGATGCGTTGTCCTCTAACACATCGGTGAAGTTACGAAAACTTGAGTCGCTGCGCCGTTAATATTTTACAAATTATAATAGGACAGGACACAGAGCTCAATATGGAGTTTGGGGCATAAAACACTCCCCACATTAGTATTTATATTGATCTCTCAGACCAATTTAAAAAAAAATCTATGGCCCTTGTTTGTACACTGCTGGTCAAGTCCTTATTGCAGTATTGGTTATCTATGAAATGAATCTTTGAATTTCATATAAGGAATTTTTTTTCATTTAAGACAAATTAATTTTGTAAAGTCACTGTTTTGAACACATTGAAAAATGTTGATGGTTTCTGTGATTATTTTCTTAAATTTCTTTTCTTTTGCGCTACAGTTTTAGGATCCTTTTGGAAATACTGTGTGATTACTCCATTTTGCAGCATGAATTATAGTAAAATGGTCTTCAGTTCTTAGTAAATGAACTTCCCTAATGAGATCAAAATGGTGATTTTCCACCCTTCTTTTATCCCCTAAAAAGTGGCTCTGCTTCAGCAGATATTTGCCAGTTTTTAATTGATCCATGACTTCTTACTCCACCCCACTCCCATATACTTTCTAGCATTGACTTGTCTTGTTTAATTACTTCTCTGAGATTCTGTGTACAGTGAGAAATTTTTGTTAGAAATTCCTGTCATACCAGAAGTATTTAACAAGTTCAACTTGTTGTGAAGCCATTTGTGTTTTATAACACAAAATGTGCTCTAAGTGATTATGTAATATAGGAATACTTGAAGACAGACCAAAAAAGACCATTTGTGATTTCATTATCCTGCCTATATAGAAGAATGAGATTTGTTGAAAAAAATGGATTACTTGTCATTAGTTTAACTTATTCAGAGTCTCTGTTAGTTTATTCCATGCTAAACTAGTGAACTAAATGAAAATAAAGGAAACTTCTCATTAATCTAAAGGCAGACTTAAAGGAATTGGGCCAAATATGTTCTAAATATTTAGAATGAATATATTTTTTTAGAAACTTCAAGGCCATTTAGGAAATTGTCTTGTAGTTTTGATTAAAGAAAGTTTAGAGTTTTCTATCTTCACTCTGTTGGTGAAGGTAAGCATAAGGATACAAAAATGAATTGTTTTATAAACAGTGATTTTACTCTTAGAGAAATTTGGCTAGCTCTTTGATCTAGAAAGCTTCAGGAATCTCAGCATTTTGGTGTGGACAATAATGCATTTTTTTAATTGTACAGGTGTAAACACATTGCTTTTGTTGAATTGTATAGGTGTAAAGGGAATACCTGTATGCAGGTTTGAAAAGGAAATATGCTTTAGGCAAGAGTCATAAGATGCCCTTGTACTTGATGGCATTTTTCCTTTAGAAACAAACCTCACTTCTTTTATTCTGCCTGGTAATGCACAGCCCAAAGGCATGAGATGAATTTGTCATTGGATTTTTATTATGCTGTTTTGTTCTGTTTTGTTTTGCCTATCCAGTCTGTCTGTGGAACACTGACTCTGCTCACTAATGAGAACAAAGTTAGAATCTGCTGATAGCCTGAAATAATTTAGTTAAAAGTGTGAAGGCAGGAGTTCAAGTGATGTTAATTAAATCAAAATAGTGTGTGAAAAACATGCTCCTTATATCAGTCTTGTCTACCGTTTCCTCAGGTATGACTTGATTTGAGAGAATTTCTTGTTTTCTTCTCTTTTGAGGCCAAATAATGTTGTTGAGATGTAGTTTGCCTACCTTACAGTTGACCCATTTAAAGGGTATAATTCTGTGACTTTCAATGATTTCACAAAATTGTGAAATATCAGCCACTTTTAGAACATTTCGCAGTCCCATAAAGAATCCCCCTGCACTTTAAAACTTGCCTCATTTTCTCCCAATGCTGGCTCCACTCCACCCCTGTCAACCCTAGGGAACTACTGATCTACTTTCTGTCTGTATAGATGCACCTTCTCTGGACATTTAATATAAATGGATTCATAGGGTATCTGGTCTTCCGTGAGTGACTTCTCCCAAAGGATTGTTATGTGGAGAAAGAAGTTGTTCTTATCTTGTGATTAATTATTGTTGTGAAAGGCCATGATTGGCCAAATGAATATATCTAAGGAGAGAAGACTAGATACTTAACAGGTTTCTCAGATGATCGTATGTAACAGTTTTTTTTATAGCATTCATAGTGTATTGCTTATTATATTTTGGCTGGTTTCTAGAATGGATATTGAACTCCTTGCTGCTCAGTTAGGAAAGACCTGCTAAAATTGATGCCAAATAATTTGGCATATAATTGACGTAGTAATTTCCAGTGTATACATCTTCGCCAGCAGCTTGTATACCTCAGGTCAACTGAGGTCCCCAAATTTCTTTTTTAATTGACTCCAGTCAATTTCTGTTGACTTTTCCAAGTATGTACCATAGGACTAAAGGTGATTTGGGTAACCCTGCTAAATGTATTAAGTATGGAACTTGATTTACAGTACTATTAGACAGTCTGTTACTGCCTAAGGCAGTTTAAAAATATGTGAGCTAGTCTGCAGTTGATTAGGATTTCAGTGACATTCAGAAATGTGTATCAACCAAAGTTCTCAAGAATACTGGAAGACTCACTTTTTTTTTTAACATTTATTTTATTTATTTGAGGGACAGAGTTTCAGAGAGAGAGGTCTTCCTTCCACTGGTTCACTCCCCAGATGGCCACAATGGCCAGAGCTGCGCCGATCTGAAGCCAGGAGCCAGGAGCTTCTTCTGGGTCTCCCACATGAGTACAGGGGCCCAAAGCCTTGGTCCATCTTCTACTGCTTTCCTAGGCCATAGCAGAGAACTGTATCGGAAGAGGAGCAGCTGGGACTAGAACCAGCGCCCATATGGGATGCCGGTACTTCAGGCCAGGGCTTTAACCCACTACACCATAGCGCTGGCCCCAGACTCACTTCTTAATAACCAAGGAACCAGCCAAATGGCCCAGTGGCAAAAAAAAAAAAAAAAAAAAAAAAAAAAAACAGACTTTTGAGTTGGAAACTCCTGTGATCTCTGACTTCCTACTGATCGTTTCCTAAGCACTGTGGCTTAGTTCTGAGTGGCACAGCAACATCTTCCTGGTTGTATGTGGCCTGTTTCCATGAGCTATTGAGTGCTGTTGTTTGTTGTGAGCGTCAGTGCCTGTAACACCAAGCTAAACACATTCTTTGGATATAGTCTCTCTCTTTAAATGACCTTACCCTGTCCAATAAGTAAATGATTGTCTCACCCTGTTTGTGGTAGCAGTTTTTTGTTTGTTTGTTTTATTTTGTTTTGCGTTTTAGATTTTTTTAATCTCACTTCTGTTTCTCTGTACCCAGAAAAATGTAAGAGCTAATTTTATGACTATATTTTCCAGTGTGATTTTGTTTTACTAAATTCAATAGATACTTTATACTTAATTGTACATATCAACTCTTATTGCAATTTTAAGCTTTAATAGTCAGAATGTATAATCTCATTTATATTCATGAATCGGTAAGTGCTCGTTGAGGTATAGGAATTGGTTCTTGAGAAGCAGTGTCTGTAATCATTCCATCGCAAGCAAATTTCTTATAGGCAGACAGCTCATACAAAATATCACTTGTACCTAACAGGAAATCATGTTTTAAGTGTAAGAGAATGAGAAAATGCAAGGGGAAAATTTCTACTTTGTAAAACTTGGCAGTTACCTAAAGTATTTTGAAAACACTACCAGTATTCAAGCCTACTTAGAACTAACTCAAAATAAACTGCTAAGCAATGTTATTTAAAAAGGAGGAAAAAAGATAACATGTGACGAAAGGATCAGACAGTTTAGAAAGGCACAAAAATAAATCTTTTGTTCTCTTCCTTCCTACTCTAATATTTCACCTGAAGGTAACCAGCATCAACAGTCTCGTTGTTCTTATAGGAATAAAACCTTTTATTTACCAGTGAACATACATTTAAAAAAATTTACATTAAGGAATCAGACAATATGTACTGTTCTGTACCTTGCTTTCTTCTGCTGTGTCTTAGGAAATCTTTATTTGTACAGAAATAATGATTTTTAATAACTCTGGTGTCCCAGTATACATTAGTGGGCTTTTAGTTTTCCAATATTTTATTAAATTGTATTGTAGTGAACATACTTGTACATATAATGAGACTGTATCAGTAGAATTAATTTATAGCAATATAATTGCTAGATCAAAGAGTAATTTTCATTTTCAGTGCAGTAGTCTGCTGCCAGATTGTCCTCTGGAAACCTTTGCCTGGTGTGCTTCTACATACAGTGTGAGAATGATTGTTTACGGGACTGGCGCTGATAGTGGGTACTACTTTTTATGTTTGATCATGTGAAAGTAAATGAGTGATATCTTGCATTTTTATGAGGAGATGCAACACATTTTCAGGTGTATTGATTACTGCTATTTCATTTTCTGTGAGCTGTATGATTATATTCTGTTTCCTATTAGATGATTTGTTTTTTATTGATTTGTATGAGCTTTTTGTAAGCTAAGGAAGTTGGCTCACTGTCACATGTTTAATAACATTTTCCTGTGTATTATTGATTTATGTAGTTATACTTATCAGTCTTTATGCCTTCTTCCCTTAGAAAGGACTTTACATTTATGAATGAATTTATTTTTCCAGTAAAAAAAAAAAAAAAAAAAAAAAAAAAGACCACACAGACTGTGGTTGTTATGGTATCCATAGGAACCAATACAGTGACTAGCAAATTTAATCATAACTTCTCTCCTTTACAATATTAAACTTGAGACATTGTTTTAGTTGTGCTCAGGATTTAACTTGTAGAGGTGACTGAGTGAACCACATGGGAATGTCAATGCCATTGAAAGAAGCCTTGTTCCTTGTGGTTCCCTTCTCCCCAGGAGAAGGGGTGTGTGCCAGGCCACACAGGGCCACCTAGAGAAACACTGGGGTGTTCAGGAGGCAGGAGAAGAGAAGGAGAAGCATGATCAGAGCTTTTTTGTGGCTCCCACGAGTGACCAAGGGTAGGCAAATTTGAGCAAGCTTAGGTTTGGTCAGTTTGAATAATTTTGGTGAGCTCTGGATTATTGGAGCGGTCCCTAGTTGCCCCATGTCTGATCATGGGATGACTTTGCACAGGGGAAATATTGCTGTGGAGTGAATGACATAACTGAGGAAGTGAGGGATATGGGCTTTGGATTAGTTGGTTTCACAGGCATGCAAGATGTGTTCACGACATGTTGTTTACTACAGCTGAGATTAGACAGCTCTGGGAGGGACAGTCAAAGCAAGAAGGCCCCAATGTATCAAAGCAACGTAAAACACAGACAATTAAAAACATAACACACAGAAGACAGTCACCAGAAGCAGTAGTACTAGAAGGAAGACAGAATTTGAAACTTCTTTTAAGAGTCAGTTTCTTGAAAGAATAACTTATATCCCATGTTTATTTTTCTCTCATTTACTCACCACAAACTGCAGCCAACTCTCTTCTTTGAAAATTGAAAAATTCCTCTTGTCCGGGTGATACCTGACCTCTTTGATGCCAAGCCCAGTTGGTATTTTCATCAATTGATATTTTCATGCATGCTACTTTCTCTATCAGTCCTTTCCTTTCCCCCTGCCCTCCACAAGCAGAATGCATCTCGCTGCCAGTAATTGGCATAGTGGGTTAGGTCTCTGCCTGCGATGCCAGCATCCCATATGAGCACTGGTTTGAGCCACAGCCGCTCCGTTTCTGATCCTGCTCCCTGCTGATGGCCTGGGAAAGCAGCAGAAGATAACCCAAGTGCTTGGGATCCTGCACGCATGTGGGAGACCTGGAAGAAGCTCCTGGATCTTGGCTTCGGATCAGCCCAGCTCCAACCACTGCAATGTGAACCAGCGTCTGGATAATCTCTCGGTCTCTTGCTCTCTCTGGCTGTAACTCTGCCTCTCGATTAAATAAATAAATCTTGGGGAAAAAAAGAAGGGAAAGTAAGGAGGGAGGGAGGGAGGGAGGGAGGGAGGGAAAGAAAGAATCTCACCTGCATTGGTGCTGTTTTGTACCTCACAGAAACGTTGATCGCTCACCTTAAATATTTCATTGTTCCTACTGCTTATGTATGTACTTCCTCTAGTGAAATGGAAGCTGCCAGACGCTGTACTTCTATCCTTAACATTGAGCAAGCTTCTATCCTTGATGTTTAGAATCTAACGCAGAGTAACTTACCTGCAAATCTTTTAAAAATGAGTTTGGTAAACAAAGGTGCTCCTGTGCGGCACAGTGTATCACTGTTGACACTCTCGACTCCACCTTCAGCTTCCTGGGCCTCTTTCCTCCACCTTTTACTGTTCTTATGTACCTCCCTTTTTAAACATCCATTATAGGCTGGTGATTCTAAGGGTCCCAAGAACTCTTTAGAATTTCCCTGGATGATCTCATATACTTTCACGTTTCTAAACACCACCTTATGCTGATAACCTCAACATCTATATTTCTAAGCTGGATCTCTCTTCAAAGCTCCAAAAAGACTAAGCCTACATGTAAGGAATGAGATAGGGCAAAGAAAAAAATACGGAAGTCAATCATTTCGATTACAATAGTATGCTTACTCATGTATGCTACTAGGTACTAAACTGCCAATATCTCTAACCATCTGATTGCATTTCCATGAGCCAGGTCTTAGACAATCCATGCATCATGACCTTTTCATCAATACAGCACAAAAATTTCAACTTTTTGTCAAGGAAAGACTCAATAGAGGATTCTTTTTAATGTCCATTTATCTAAGTCTTTCTTAGCTTATTAAGACATACCAGTATGTCTGGTTTTCTCATCTGGACAGGGAAGTTTCTAGTAGCAATAAAATGTTTTGGCCGGCACCGCGGCTCACTAGGCTAATCCTCTGCCTTGCAGCGCCGGCACACCAGGTTCTAGTCCCGGTCAGGGCGCTGGATTCTGTCCCGGTTGCCCCTCTTCCAGGCCAGCTCTCTGCTGTGGCCCGGGAATGCAGTGGAGGATGGTCCAAGTGCTTGGGCCCTGCGGCCGCGGCGGCCATTGGAGGGTGAACCAACGGCAAAGGAAGACCTTTCTCTCTGTCTCTCTCTCTCCTGTCCACTCTGCCTGTCAAAAAAAATTTAAATTAAAAAATAAAAAATAAATGTTTCTTTTCAAGAATTTTGCAAATAAAAAATTGCATGTATGTGACTGTGTATATATAGATAGATAGATAGATAGATAGATAAGTAGACGGATAGATAGGTTCTGATAGGGTTTCTTTTAAGTTATATAATTTAAGTTGTCCCATTGTCTACAAAATCATGATTTAACATGCAAGGTTATGGCTCTAGGAAAATTTTCTGTTTAACTTGAAATGATTATTTCTTAGGTTGATCAGAAAGATGGTATCTCAGGAATATGGGTTTTCTCATGTTTTTTCTTTTATGAATGCTTAAAAACAACAACAAAAAATCTATATGTGTATTTTATGTCCACACACACACACACACAAAACCTCAGAGTGTCCATAGGCATATGAATTAAAAATCAAGTTCTGAATAAATAATGACTACAGAAAATTTTCTGAATATTTAAAAAAGCTATTTTCTAGGACATCAAATGTTCTTTTCTGATAAAAGAAACAGCTACAGAAAGCTTTTATTATACTTGTTAGAAGTAACCAGCACTATTAATGTAAAAGCAGAAAAAAATCTACAACTCTCCCAATCCTACTTCCAAACCAACATATTACACTTGATTTTCACTAGAATTTAGTTATTTCTTTACACTAGTAAACCAAAGACCAAACCCAGTTTTTATATATATATATAGTTATATATATGTACATATATGCATACATATATATAGAACTATGCAAACAATTTTTGAGCTTCCTATTCTGGACAAGAATGTCAAGTTAGTCTTTCTTTATAAAAAGTACTTATAGGGGTTTGCGTTGCTCAGTGAGTTAAGCAGCCACCTAGGATGCTGGCATCCCACATGGGCGCGCCAGCTCCCCCCATAGGTACCGGTTCAATTCTTGACTACTCCAATCCCCTATCCAGCTCCCTGCTGATGTGCCTGGGAAAGTAGCAGAAGATGGAAGACCGGCTGGAATTCCAGACTCCTGTCTTCATCCTGGCCCACCCTTAGCTGTTACAGGCTGTTGGGGAGTTCTCTCTCCAAAAGTTGTCTCCAAGAGTTATCTGCAGCATCTCTTCTTTGGTTTGCTATCACCAGAGTCATTTGAGATAAATGTTTTGTTTTTGTATCACTTTTTTCTTTATCAGCTTATTGAGAAATAAGAGGCCGGCGCCGCGGCTCAATAGGCTAATCCTCTGCCTAGCGGCACCGGCACACCGGGTTCTAGCCCCAGTCGGGGCTCCGGATTCTGTCCCGGTTGCCCCTCTTCCAGGCCAGCTCTCTGCTGTGGCCCGGGAGTGCAGTGGAGGATGGCCCAAGTACTTGGGCCCTGCACCCCATGGGAGACCAGGAGAAGCACCTGGCTCCTGCCATCGGATCAGCGCAGTGCGCTGGCCGCAGCACGCCTGCCGCGGCGGCCATTGGAGGGTGAACCAATGGCAAAAGGAAGACATTTCTCTCTGTCGCTCTCTCTCACTGTCCACTCTGCCTGTTAAAAAAAAGAAAAAAAAAAGAGAGAGAGAGAAATAAGAAATGCCTCAATTAACTCTGGACAACCTACATTTTCCCCAGACGCCCAGCCTTGTCAGCATCTGTAAGTCACTTCCACCTAGGAAGTGCTGTACCTTCCCTTCACTACATGTTGTCCAGTACTTTTTCCACCCTAAATTCTGCAGGTGCTCCCTCTTCAACTTTTCACTCTTTCCAGTCCGTTTCTTTACCAGTGTTGGTCATGCAGTTTTATTGGGGTCTTTGTTTATTGCAGACTTAAAGAACTATCATTCACCCCCTGCAAGCTGCTCTAGGACGCAGGTCTGCCTCGTCTGCCCTAGGTGACTCTTAATTCCATACTCTCCTGTGCAAGTCTCTGCCTCAGTCACAGGGCACTCATTCTCTGCCCCCACCAAATCATTCTCTGCATTTCAAGAGTGACTTAGAAAGAGGATTATGGGGCCGGCACTGTGGCACAGTGAGTTAAAGCCCTGGTCTGCAGTGCGGGCATCCCTTATGGGCACCGGTTCCAGTCCCAGCTGCTCCAATTCCAATCCAGCTCCCTACTAATGCGCCTGGGAAAGCAGCAGGCTTCTGCACCCATGTGGGAGACCTGGAAGAAGCTCCTAGCTCCTGGCTTCAGATCTGCTCAGCTCTGGCCATTTAGGGAGTGAGCCAGCAGATGGAAGACCTCTCTCTCTGTCTCTGTCTCTACCTCTCTCTGTAACTCTGTCTTTCAAATAAACCAAAGAAAGAAAGAAAGAGGATTATCTGTCAACGTTTTTAGTCCTTCAATAGTTTTTGTAAACCGTCAATGAGTAAATATCAAAAGAAAACAATTACCTATAGGACATCACTGAACACTGACTTCTTATCAGAAACAAATGTCAACTAGAAAACCAGAGTTGTCTTTAATGTGTTGGGGAGAGGGGGCAGGGACGGGGAACTGTCAGCCTAGAATTTTAAATGCAGTAAAAAAAAAAAAAACTTCAAAAATGAAAGTGAAATAAAGACAATAAAGACATTTTTACCCCCTCCCA